CCCCCCTCCCACCCTTCTTCTTACAGCCTCTCCCAAAAGTTTTAGTAATGATTAATACCCTCAGAGTACTGGGTGTAACCGAGCAAATCATATCAGTTTTATTTTTATGAATTACTTTGCTTTCAGTTTGCAGAAGCTCCGAGTACAGATTATTAGGGAGAAGGAAAAAAAAAAAAAAAACAGTCACCAGTAATGGCAAGTAAAACTTTTTTTTTGCCTCGCAAAAGTATTCATGCCCCTTGAACATGTCCACGTTTTTGTCACGTTAAAAGCACACGCGTCACTGTATTTAATGTGGATTTTGCGTGGTAGACCAATATAAAAGAAAATGAATACATGCTGTGCATCTGTGTTCAGCTAAATAAAATCCAGCTGTTCAGTGAAGGCCTCGGAGGTTTAGACCAAGTTTAGAAAGTTGTGGAGAGCTTTAAGGAAACCTTAAGTTGCGACTGCAAATCTAACTAAACCTGCCCATCCACGTAAACTGGCAAGAAACGACTGGAGACGCCGTAGACGGTACAACTATCAACGTTTCAGGACCTCACCAAGAAGGTTTGCTTGCAGTTTTCCACAAGCCAAGTAGGTAGCACAACAAACACGTCAAAGAGTGTTTGTCTGCTCTGGTCTTGGAGAACGCTGAAATGAACCCTGCACCCCGATGAGGCCGTCTTCATGGTAGACATGGTGGTGGCAGCATCATGCTGTGTGCATGCTGCTTTCCTCCAGAAGTTACAGTGAAACTGGGTTATCGCGGAACAAAGTCAGTTTGACGATGCAAAACATTTGAGAGAGGAACGGAGTTTCAGCTTGCAGTGAGGAAAACGATCCTGAATGTACAGCTGGAGCTCCACCTAAATGGCTTGAACATATTCAAGTGTTTGAAAGGCTCAGTCAAAGTCCAGACCTTGCTGAGGAATCTCTCGGCATGACTGGATAAAAATCTCAGTGTGGAGCAGTGAAACGCTAGCACAGACGTAGATTTAAAATGACATGTAGCTGGAAATGCAAAAAAAACAAGTGGTTCTAAAAAGTATTCAGCTAGGAGTCTGATTACAAATGAATGGCATGTTTTGTCAGATTATTTGTCTAAAATAGTCGAAA